CATACTGTCAATCATAACACAGTAATAAATACACTAGGCAATACTAACTAGTGTCGGTATCAGTGAGATGATGTGTACTGCCCTCTGTATGTGACATAGTGTCAATCATTACACAGTAATAAATACACTAGGCAATACTAACTAGCATTGGTATCATTGAGTTGATATGTACTGCTCTCTGTAGGTGACATACTGTCAATCATTACACAGAAATAAATACACTTGGCAATACTAACTAGTGTTGGTATCAGTGAGTTGATGTGCACTGCCCTCTGTAGGTGACATAGTGTCAATCATTACACAGTAATAAATACACTAGGCAATACTAACTAGTGTTGGTATCAGTGAGTTGATGTGTACTGCCCTCTGTAGGTGACATACTGTCGATCATTACACAGTAATAAATACACTAGGCAATATTAAATATTGTTAATCGCGTTTCGCAGTATAGCGGTTAACTATTGTCTGTTTGGGATGGCAAACAGACGGTATGGTATGTGGGGTCATGTGACAAGGGGTATTTCAGTGGAGGACAGAAGGTTGAATGTCAGTCTAGGCCAGTCTCGCTACAGTGCAGTTTTCGGCGGTTTCCTTTTTTAGTCACACTTTGTTCATTCCTGTGGTTCTCGTGTGAATCATCATGAATCAGGCAGTGCGGCACTATCAACCCATTAGTAAACCTTTAACATCACGACTATGTTTTTTCAAGTGCAAGTAGAAGAGACGGTTGATGGAACTAGCAGATCCCGTAATGTCGGGAATGCACGACAACGCTCACTTCGGTTAGTCGATTGGGAAGACCTTAGACAAGATGTCAAAATATACAAGACATACATTTTGACCTATGTTTTGGACGGCAAAAAAAAACAAGCAGCCTATCGGCTGAGATAGCTCCGCTGTTAGCAATGCACATTTCAATTAAAGAACTGAAGACATCATTAGAAAATGAACAGTATGAATAGTATCAAAGCAATTGGACTTGCGGTTTTCAACAAGAAGTCGAAAATATAACTTTTTACCAAAAATGACCAAAATATTCACCAAAATTAGAGAATTAAAGATATCATTACAAAATGAACAAATCTGAGAGAGGTCCACATGTAGTACCTATATGTGTAATATCAAAGCATTTGCACTTGCGGTTTTTAACAAGAAGTCGAAAATATCACTTTTTACCAAAAATTACAAAAATATTCACCAAAATTAGAGAATTGAAGATATCAACATGAAATGAACAAACCTAAGAGAGGTCTACCCAAGGTACATATACACCAAGTATCAAAGCATTCAGGCTTGTAGTTTTCAAGAAGAAGTCGAAAAAGTAAAACATTGACACAGACGACGACGGACAATCACTCATATGATAAGCTCCGCTCGACAAAGTCGACAGCGGAGCTAAAAAAAGCTGGCAACAAACATTTCTGAAGCTGAGAAGAAACAGAGGGCAATATTAATTTTATTTACTATGCAGTCTAGTTGGCATCATATCCGGCACCACAGCAAAATTTCTAACAGATCGCATCAATTACTGTTTCAAGGGCGGAGAATTCAAAAAAACAGTGAGCATCTTTCACGTGCCGTATTCGGCCATTGGCGTTACGTGTCCTTCAACTTCAAAGATGTCGAACATTAAGTTAAATAACTCTTTATGTAACTATTTCAACACTTATGTGTGCGCCTTGGGGCAGAATGTTCTAGTTGATGAGCTTAGTCAACATGTTGTTTACAACAATTGGAGTATTCAGTGTTGATGCTTTCCAGGAGCTTGATACCCTGTGGGATCCACATTTCAGTGGATAAGTTTGTTTTTGACAGCAACAGTAAATTACGGCAGGAGCATCAGTAGTGTCATATTATCTCCACTGATGAAGGTGTTGGATCGTACGCAAACTCTTGATGAAAATCACTTTCCGCCATAATGCATTTGCATTTGACCTGAAGCAGTGTCCTTTGACCCAATGGGTCAAGTCGATTATTTGCCAATCAGAATGCTGTGTACTGACGCAAACTTTCCGGTAACGCAATGCGGAAGTGAATTATCGATGTCGAAGTATGGTCTGTTGGAATTGATTTCAGCGAATAAACGACATGGTTTTTCCAAAAAACTAGTAACTAGCCATTTTTGAGAGGTAAACTGAATATGGCATGAAATATTTACCGCATTTTACTTGTATTAACAGGTCATTGTCGAAGCGTAGTTTACGCACGGTTACCGTGTTCTACGCATTCACAACCTGTTCACAGCGATCGATATCCACGCTGTATCATATAAAAACTATTACAAAGATTCATTACGCAAGACCAAGTTTTAAATTAGTTGCATTTTGAAGGGGTGGGCACTTTGCCGAATGTGACCCCAAATATAAAAAAATGCGCAAAAGTGGGGGGTGGGCGCTTGCCCGGGCATGGGCGCTAACGCGGTCGAGTACGGTAAATGGCATGTGTGGGTATACTAGGCAATGTAAATGTATATAAATATGGGTATATAAATGGCATGTGTGGGTATACTTCACATGGGTGGGTATACTAGGCAATGTAAATGTATATAAATATGGGTATATAAATGGCATGTGTGGGTATACTTCACATGGGTGGGTATACTAGGCAATGTAAATGTCTAAATATGGGTATATAAATGGCATGTGGGTGGTGGGTGTACTTGAAATGGGCGAGTGTACTTGAAATTGATGGGCGTACTTGAAATTGATGGGCGTACTTGAAATTGATGGGCGTACTTGAAATCGTTGGGGGTACTTAAAATTGATGGGCGTACTTGAAATTGATGGGTGTACTTGAAATTGATGGGTGTACTTGAAATTGATGGGTGTACTTGAAATGGGCAGGTGTACTTGAAATGGGCAGGTGTACTTGAAATGGGCAGGTGTACTTGAAATGGGCAGGTGTACTTGGGATGGGCAGGTGTACTTGGGATGGGCAGGTGTACTTGGGATGGGCAGGTGTACTTGGGATGGGTGGGTGTACTTGGGATGGGTGGGTGTACTTGGGATGGGTGGGTGTACTTGGGATGGGTGGGTGTACTTGGGATGGGTGGGTGTACTTGGGATGGGTGGGTGTACTTGGGATGGGTGGGTGTACTTGGGATGGGTGGGTGTACTTGGGATGGGTGGGTGTACTTGGGATGGGTGGGTGTACTTGGGATGGGTGGGTGTACTTGGGATGGGTGGGTGTACTTGGGATGGGTGGGTGTACTTGGGATGGGTGGGTGTACTTAGGATGGGTGGGTGTACTTGAAATGGGCGAGTGTACTTGAAATGGGCGAGTGTACTTGAAATGGGCGAGTGTACTTGAAATGGGCGAGTGTACTTGAAATTGATGGGCGTACTTGAAATTGATGGGCGTACTTGAAATTGATGGGCGTACTTGAAATTGATGGGCGTACTTGAAATTGATGGGCGTACTTGAAATTGATG